CACTCACCTTTCCTGGCTCCATCCCCGCCTCTTTGACCTGTCTGTCTCCTCTCCACCTATCTTCTCCTCTATCCATCTTCTATCCACCTCCCCCTCTCTCCCTATTTATTTCAGAACCCCCTTCCCCTCCCCCATTTCTGAAGAAGGGTCTAGGCCCGAAACGTCAGCCTTCCTGCTCTTCTGATGCTGCTTGGCCTGCTGTGTTCATTCAGCTCTACACCTTGTTATCTCAGATTCTCCAGCATCTGCAGTTCCTACTATCTCTGAACTTAATTGATCCCTCTGGATTTCACTAATGTTTCACAAGTTCAAATATTAACCAGCAGATTTTGTTTAGTTGTGTTGGAATCAGGTACCGTTGACCATTGCTTTGAGTCTTTTTTTTTAGTAATTTGTGGGACATGAGTGTCGGTGGCTGGGTCAGCATTTATTGCCCATCCCTAGTTGCCCTTGAGAAGGCGGTGGTGAGCTACCTTTTTGAATCGCTGCAGTCCTTGTTTTGTAAGAAGACACGAATACCCTTGTGGAGGGAATTCTAGGTTTTTGACCCAGTGACAGTGAAGGAACAATATATTTCCAAGTCAGGATGGTGAATGACATGGAGGGGAATTTGCAGATGGTGGTGTTCCTATATATCTGCTGCCCTAGTCCTTCTAGATGGAAGCGGTCATGGGTTTGGAAGGTGCTGTCTGAGTGAATTTGTTGAATTTCTGCAGTGCATCTCGTAGATAACACACACTGCTGCTACTGAGCGTCGGTGGTGGAGGGATGGCAGCAAGTGAAGTGGGGAGAGTGGTGCGGGATTTGTTTCAGGGACAAGTTGCTCTCACTTCCTGCTATGTAGCAGCTGAGGATAGAGAACATGCAACAAGAAGAAGCATCTGTTTATAATGGATGAGTCACACTCCCCAGCTGAAAACTGAAGGGATCAGTTAAGTAACTTCCATAATGTTGTTAGTTAAACTTGGTTTTGTATAATTTTTGCAGTTTTATGTGCTTTCTTTTCTGGAAGTTAATTGAACTTTCACTTTTTGTAATGAAGTTTAATTATTTTCAAGTACTTTTTTTTAAACGATACTTTTAAAATTACTCTCGCAGACTGGAACTTAGCCACTCTTATCTTTCGTCACCAAGCCCCTCTGCCTTGATGTAGAGATAAGGGTTGCTAAACTGAGTACACACCAGAGGCAGCCTCCCCGCATAGCAGGTGCAGGTGGGTAGGTACAGGTGTAACCCTGTGACAGTGCTTCCAAAGACTGGGCTTCCCCCATAAAGCAGCAGAATAGTTATGTTGGCTTCCTGACATCTTGGGGTTGAGCTTCTAAGGAACGCTTCATCTGAGTAAGACCAGAGGTCACTGCCAACTAAGTGACACCCACACAGTCCCCTTTTACAGCAACAAACACAACTCAGTCACTGGTTGATATAATTCTCTTCTGTGGAGGTACCAGGGCATTCATTTAGAGAGGTTGAAAGAACTCATGTGGGCATTCCGCCAGCTTATCCCAGAACATTCTGCATCAGATTTAGAAGAAAGACCTTTTCTGCAAATGCTAAAACCTCCAAGCACAGCAGGAGCAGACTTGATTTATGACTTTGCAAGGAAATTGGGTTGAAGGTAAGTGAAATAAACTTGGAGCAATGTGCGGGCAGAGCAGGGAGATAGGACCGACTAGTTTGCCTAAAATAAACTCCATAGATCAAAAGACTTCCCTCTGTTTCATAATGACTTCCGACGCTATATCGGTATTTTTACTTAGAGAATGGCACGTGGTAGCGCCACAATATGGAATGACTGATGTGATTATCATAGATCCCTTTAATTATCCAGCTTCCTGTTACATACAAAGGAATGAAAGGGTAAGATGAAATTACGTGGAATAGAGAATTAGAGGCAGTCCAGAGAATGTTCACTAAATTGGTACTGGGTATGGAGGGATTTTCCTATGAGGAGCGGTTGAGTAGATTGGGTTTATACTCGTGGGAGATTAGAAGAATGAGATGAGATCCTACAAGATAAAGAGATACATAAGATTCTTGGGGGCTTGACAGGGTCGGATGTTGTTTTCCCTTTCCTGAAGAATCAATAACCAGAGGGCATCTCCAAGTAAGAAGTCACAAATTTAAAATAGTGATGAGGAGGACTTTTTTCTCTCACAGAGGATAGTGATTCTGTAGAATTCTTTACCACAGAGGGCTGCCGAACATGCGACATTAAGTATATTCAAGACAGAGATAGGCAGATGTTTAATCATTCAGGGAATCAGGATTATGCGGAAAAGACAGGACAGTGGAATTCAGGGTGATCAGATCAGTCACAATCTCGATGCACAGCAGAACAGATTCTGTGGGCTGAATGGTCTACTTCTGCTTTGACATCTTGCGTCTTTTAGAAACTCCAGTACACACTTCGTGGGTAAAATTCTGTGTAATTCTATCCAAACAGTGACAAACAAATGTTATGTTTAATATCACAATGGAACCATTCAGGAGTCCCCTCAGTCATTCAGATTGAAAAGATTCTTGTTTATTAACTGATAATCCGTAGCACAAGCCTTATTAATTGAGCTAGTCTTTGTTTATGGTTCTCTATTTACTCTAAACTCAGAATAAAGAGAGAGTGAAAACATTTCTCATGTATTATATGTGATATAACCCAGGTTTCAGAAGATATTCCTTAATAGAGGTGACAATGTGCTGCGTACTCCACACACACACACACAGAGTTCAATCTGTGGGTCTTCTTCCCTCGGGGACTAAAAGCTGTGTCTTCCTTTCCATAGTTACAGATAGCAACCTCTCAACTGAAGAATGTTTTGTGAGCATGCAGCCCTGAAGAGGCCTCAGTCCCCAATAATTCTAAATGGCTGTCTTATTCCTGTCACTGGAATTTGTTTTTCACAATCCCCTGTCTGTAACAAGTACAATTGTGCCTAGAACTCATCATGAATTCCTGTGTTGAGAGTTCCATCAGGAAAATTGGGCTGGTTTTCAATGACGTAACGTTGAAGGCTAATTCTAATGCACATTTGGTATTCTGCCAAGAAGGAAATTTAGCCCTAGATGTGGATATAATGCACACAGTAAGTCCCTTGATTACAGAAATCAAGCTCACTCACACATTATTATTGAGATTTCATAATGTGTTGTAGTAAGATTATGAACACAGAGGTTGAAAGATTGAAAGAAAGACTTGCATCATATCACACTTTCTATGACTTCATTGGCACCCCAAAACACTTCCGCCATGTGCAAAGTACCTTTGACCTACCATCATCATTTGGATGTTTGGAACATGGTGATCAATTTGCTGACAGCAAATGGCAATGTGATGATAATATTTTTTTTAGTGATGTCGATTGTAGAATAAGAATTGACTGGAACTCCAGGGCGAGCAAATATAACCCCTCTATTCCAGAAGGGCGGGGAGGCAGAAGACAGGAAAATCATTGAGCTTCATGTCTGCCGTAGGGAAGCTTTTAGAATTAATTGCTAAGGATGTTCTAACTGGGCACTTGGAAAAATTAAGATAATTCGGAATAGTCAGCATGGTTTTCTAAAGGATAATTGTGCTTAACCTTTCTCTTAATTCTTTGAAGGAGTATGTGTGATACGGATAAACAGAAGCTTGTTGATTTACTGTGCTTGGATTTCCAGAAAGCACTTGACAAGGTTCCACATGAAAGTTTACTCGATTGATACTTGGAACGAATGAGTCACCTTGCGAAAGAAGAACGCAAAAACTGGTCGTGTTTTCATTGGAAATTAGTAGAGCGAGGGGTGATTTGATTGAATTTCTAAGGTCTCAGCAAGGTGGATATGGAAAGGATATTTAAGATATCTCCTCTTTGGGTCAGTCCAGAATGAGAGCGACTGTACTAAAATTCAGGATTGCCCTTTGAGGATAGAAATGAGGCACAAGTTTTTTTCTCTGAGCATTGTGTCACTTTGGAACTCTGTGCGTCAGAAGGTGATGGAGACAGGATCATTGAATATTTTTAAGGCAGAAGTGGATGGTTTCTCGTTAGGCAAGAGAAACAATGTTATGAGGGAGAAATGGAAGTCAAGCCCTAATATTCTCAGCATCGTCACAAAAGTTAAAGATTTTATAAGAGTGCAAGATTACCCAGTTTACCAATCTGTTAGACCCAGGTTAAGAGAAAGCATGGACCATGTTCTATACTTAACAATGATCACTATTTATTAATGGATTCTAACTACAGTAAACAAGTATGAATCACTAACATTTAACTAAGTCTAACTAGTAAAAATATTAACCCCATTATAAAAGTCCACACACACACACACACATTACACACATACAGACAGAGAAGAAAAGAAAGCATGGGTATAATAGAGAGAGGGAAATACTAAGAATTCAGTTCAATGGTCCCTGTCTACAGGATTTTCTGAGGGATGTTTTTGACTAGTGAGAAATTGCTGCTTCTTGATCTCTCCAGGTACTTTCACTTGCAGGTGGGCACAAACTTATTGGTTAAAAACAACAGCAACTGATGAGGGAAAATAAACTGGCTATCTTCAGCTTTGAGGTTTTCTTTTACTGCAGTGAAAAAGACAGCTCTCTTTTTCAGGGACCTGATGGCTTCTGGCCAAACATTTCCACCTCCAAGCTAAGATAACAAGGTGTGGAGCTGGATGAACACAGCAGGCCAAGCAGCATCATAGGAGCTACCTCCACCTCCAAGCTGTTCAGCTAGCTGGGAGCCAATCACATAATTGTTGGCAGGCAGAAGGCCTTTTGTCATCAAAAACTGGTCACCATTTCACAGACCAAAACACTTAGGACAATGCACCTTCAATTACATTATCTCTTCCAGCAATGTGAAAAAATTGTTTCATTAAATGGTTGTAACAAAAGACTACATCTGAATAAGGTCATATTTTGAGTTTTAGTGCAAGCCAGTGGATTTTGATTAGTGCATTAATGTTCCCTTGGTCATTTATCAGACATTGTCTTTATAGTGTTAACAATAGTCAGTTTCTTTCAGGAATGCAATAATATTGCATGTGCCTTTTTTTATATAATCTCTCCAGGATTAATCTTCTCCATAAGTACAGTCAGTGTGGAACATGTTACATTCGAGAAAACTGGGAGTGGTTGCCCAGAATTTCCCAAAATATGAGGTTGATAAGTGAAACATCCTGCCCACAGTCCTTGCTCAGCCTCAGAATATGCCTCTTATGATAACATATAGCATTTCAATCTATAGGACATCATCAATAAACCTTCAGGAATGCCCCACAAAACTATGTGCACAGTGTGAGTACCTTACAAAGGAGCTGAAGTTGGCCAAGAATGAGGATAAGATGTCTATTCACCAGGAGCAATTGGAATGTGGTAGGGAGTGTCTAACTGCTGGCAGGAATGCTGTGCAGGCTACAGAAACAGAGTCACAAAGCACAGAGATAGAAGAAAAAGACCAGCAATCAAAGGTAGGTGGAGAATTATCTTGGAAGAAATAAAGAGATAACAAAGCAAAACAGAAAACCTTAGGATGTTAGTATCTGTGGAGGTAAATCAGGCTGACAGCCTTTCTGCAAAACTGAAGAAATACAGAAACGCAGTAGGTTTTAAGTGGATGGAGGGTAGTGGAGAGATGCATTTTTGGGGAAGGAGATTACCTTAAACATTAACTCTGTCCATAGATGCCATTAGACCTGCTAAGTATTCCAGCACATTCTCATTTTGTTTCAGATTTCCAGAATCTACAGTATTTTAATTTTGCATTAGCAGGAATGTTGGGAATTCTCCACCCCAGAGGTTTGCAAAGGCTCTATCATTCACAATATTGTTATGTAGATGTGTGGTTTAAACATTTATCTGTAATATAATTTGCTTGACACACAGGCTACGTAACAACAGTAACATTACATTGATGAGTAACAGGCTGTTTGGATAGAGACATCCAATTCACAAAACTTTGAACAGGTCATATGACCCAGTTTATGGAGGTAATAGAGCTACTCAATTTTGATCTGAGATAGAGAGTCTGATAACTTGCGTTGGGGAGCGTTTTGCCCTCCCTCTTTCTTACTCTGAAAATCCTCTGAAAGTGTGTGAACTAGGAGGCCTCTACACTTCTTGTGGAAGGTTTCTACAGAACATTTTAGAATCTACCTCACCACACTAAGAGAACTCGGAGAGCCATAGCTGATCCAAGAACACAGCCCAGTGTGTGTGAGGTGACTTTGGCTATATTGCCAAAGCGACATTTAAACATATATATCAATTTTCAACTTTAGAAGAGGCAGAAAATTGTCAAAAAAAAAAAGCCACCCATTACTGAACCTGCCTGCCTGATTTCTCTTCTCAGCAAAGTATTTTTTGTTGCTGGATCCTATCGTGGCAGATTAAATGAAATCAAAATATTTATTTATTTTCTTCTATTTAACCTATATTTTTAATCAACATGTTCAGAAATGTTATTACACATGTCTGGAACAAGTGGGACTTAAATCTGGGCCTCCTTGTTCAGGGATAGGGACACTACCAGTGTGCCACAATGTACACATTTGAGACTAAGACTTCTGACCATCACTGTGGCTGCTACCCACGTGCAAAATGCAAGACAGAGGTTATTTAAATACAGCTGGCAAGAGTTGACTCAGGCCTATAATGGCAAGTTAGGGGGAGTAAAGGGAATCTGTCTACTGAGCTGTTGACCCTCAGGCTGGGATGGGAAGCACAAAGCCCACTTTCGGTCAACAAGAGCAGGCATAAAATATTATCTAAAATCTCTTTGCAAAAATGCAAAGCCACTCATTAATGAAAATCAAGCCATCTAGATTTGATTGCTGCTATTAAATGTGTATCAGAGTTTTGGGATTCTTGTGGTGCATTGGTCATACCCCTACCTTTGAGCCACTAGGCCTGGGTTCAAGTTCCTCCTACTCCAGAGCTGTCTGAGCAGTTTGATTAAAAATATCTATACTGGGCCTCAGTAGTTCATTTATGAAAACTGAGCTTGAGAGTTAGTGTCAAATCAGCATTTTATGCAGAGAACCAGCATGATTTATGGGACTCTTTTGGAACAGTGGTAGCATTCCTCATCAGAGCTAGGAGGTCCAGGTTCAAGTCCCCCCCTGCTCCAGAAGTGTGTAATAATATATCTGAGCAGGTTGATTAGAAAATTCAATATAAAGCAGACACCCCCCTCCCCACCCAGTGCAACTCTAGGAGGTTATTGTGGTGCCATGGTAGTGTCCCTACCTCTAGGATAGAAGATCTGGGTTCAAGTCCCATCTCCTCTTAATGTGTGTTATAACATGTTGAACAGGTTGATTAGAAATATCTGCAGTCAGAGCCTTATAAAGGCTTGGAACAGAATTAATGGCAGCTCTCAACAGGCAATTATTAAACCTGTTGGGGATGTTGAGTGTGTTTGCTGGAGAAACTTATTGTATTCATGTCATGAATTCACTGTTTGTATTCACTTACCTACTGCAGAAGATCATTTCAAAGATCAATCAAGATACACAAGAAAATGCAAGAATATGGAAAGAGTCAAAGGATTCAGTTGAAGGGTAACCAGAATAAACCAACTTTCCTTTCACAAAAAATGATTCAGTGGTAAAATAAAAAGGGAAGGCAGTTCCATGAATGTTACTGCTCCATGGGAAAGGACTCTGATGGTGCAATGGTAGTGCTCCTACCTCTGGACCAGAAGTATTTGCTCCTCTGTGCTTCAAGTCTCAACTCCTCCAGACGTGTGCCATAAAATGTCTCAACAGATTGATTATAAATATCTGCAGGTCCGTGGGTAGGGGTTTTAGCTTCTTGCTCTGCGACCTGAAGATATGGCAGGGAATATACCTAACAAAAACAGAAATTGCTGGAAAAGCTCAGCAGGTGAGGCAGCATCTGTGAAGAGAAATCAGAGTTAGTGTTTCGAGTCCAGTGACTCTTCCTCAGAACCAGATCCAAAACGTTAACTCTGATTTCTCTTCACCGATCTGCTGAGATGTTCCAACAACTTCCGTTTTTGTTTTTGATCTACAGCATCTGCAGTTCTTTTGGTTTTTTAAAGAATATGCCCATGTTCCTTCAAATAGTGTTAATTAGTTGGAGGTGAGATTTCCATCATTCAGGAACAAGTCTTACCTCATTGGCGGGCAACTTAGTCTCAGTAGCACCAATAGGAGTGGTGGCCACTTCTGGGACTACAAGCAGTCCCAATTCTAAGTTACACAGCCAGGAATGGGGTGGGGGTGGGGGGGAGGGGGAGGTAGGTGTGGGATCCATTCAACAAGGACGAAGGGGAGGCCCAAGTTGAAGGAAAGGAGGGGAAGAGGACCTTGATGAAAATGGCTTGGGAGGAACGATCAGCCAGTGGGAAGGAAGAGATCTTGGAGGCGTTCGTGATGTGGATAGGGAATCGGTGAAATGGTTGTCACATACCTCCAGCCAATCCTCCAATCTGTTCGCATCCCCCCCCGACCCCCACCAATGCAATATACCCCTAAACCTCGGCCCATAAAAGCCTCAATCAAGGTGAGAGCAGGTGTGCTGCCCATCTCCCCCACCCCTGCCCATCCCCCTCTCCCTGCTATAATAATGAAGGCAGCCTCCAGACATCAGGGAAATTGGGAAAGCTACCCAAGGAATTCTACAGGTTCCCAATAACCCCTGCCCACTCAAGCTCTAAGATTCTGCCTCATACCCCGGTAAGGAACAGGAAACGATGATGGATGGTTCGGGACAAAATTTTGTGTTTCACTGCTTTGTTTATTTTCCAAGTAGTAGGTATCAGGGACAAACAGTATTCGCGCTGATTTATTTATGGAGTGCAAGGATAATTTATTTATGTGCACAGCCTCTTTAAATCCTTCTCCTGGCCTGCATACACACACGTCATTTAAAGGAGCCTTTATGTGTGGCACACAGGGGGATTTTCAGGTTTCTGCATGGCACCAGACTCAAACAGCTTAGAAGGAACATTGTTGGCAAGGCTGGTATTTGTTTTCTGCCCTTAACTTGTCCACAGAAGGTGGTGATGGTGGAGTGCCTTCTGTTTGATAAAAGTAAATGACTTGCTCAGTCTCTGCAGTGGCTCATAAACAGCCTGGAGTTCGATGTCAATCTTATTTGATAAACATTGTCAGTTTCCTCCTCTAAATGACATGAGTGAATTAATTGTTCATTTCTATGACAATTTAGTAGTTTCATGGTTACTTTCATTGAAACTGGTTTAATTTTCAGTTTTCACAATTGAATTCAAATTCTCAATCTTGTAGCCAGGCACCATGCTCTCAATAAATAGCACAAATCCTTCTGTTGATCCTGGCTTCTAATTACCAACTTCAACTGGTCAGAGAGAGGGTCACAGATTTCTGTGTTCCAGTGTCTATGTTTCCCATCAATGAACTAAAGATATATCCAGAAGGGAAAAATAAGTAAAACTCACAAATGATGCAGACTGGTCCAGCTTGTCTTGTCCAATTCAGAACAGTACTCTAGTACAACAAGTACATTCATCTTCAAGTATTATTTTTTTTTTGCTATTTGTTTTCCCTCTGGACTGTTCGTTTGTGAGGATTGTTTGTCTGTTTGTGTGTTCGTGTCTGTCTGTTGGTTCATGCAGTGCATTGTAACTAGGGTGACCAACTCTTTTATTCATATAAAATAAGGGACTCTGACTATGGAACCGCAGGATTGTGGGTTTGCCGGTGATCATAAAAATGGGGGTGGCGTGCACCTGTGAACAGGCACGGTGGCTCAGTGGTTAACACTGCTACCTCACAGCACCAGGGACTGGGTTCAAATCCACCCTTGGGTGACTGTCTGGGGTTTACACATGCTCCCTGTGTCTGTGCGGGTTTTCCTCCCACAGTCCAAAGATGTGTAAGTTGGATGGATTAGCCATGGGAAATGCAAGGGAAAGAGGATGGATCTTGGTGGGATGGCCTTTGGAGGGTCAGTGTAGACTCATTGGGCCGAAAGGCGTGTTTCTACACTGTAGGGATTCTATGACTATCCTTTGGTGGCCAATGGCCACATTGTGTATAATCACAAAACAAAACAAGAGCCAGAAACTGAGTTTCCAGGAGGCTTTGGAGGAAACCAGTCAAAATAAGGGACAATCCTTTAAAATGCATCAGAGTTGGTCAGCCTAACTCTAATATTATAGCTTTACGCATCATCTGGCCTTGCTCCAACATCTTTGGTTGTTTGTAACACTCTTGATTTGCTTCACAAAATGACAATTTTCTTGCCCAATTAATGAACTGTACTTTATTTTTAAATAGATTACAACAGCAAAGTGCAGATCTGACAAAAAACCACAATAACATAAACCTGCAATTTGAAAAGTTATTGGAGGAAATAGAAGGTATAATAGAAAGATAATTTCAAATTACCTGATTTATTATTTCTTGCTATTTTCAGTGGCTTATTTTAACAAATAAAAAGTTCTCTGCAGTAATTCAGCTGCCTACCATTGTGTCAACTTACCCTATGAAAAGAAATTTAATATATCATTCATTAATAAAATTAAACTAGATAGGTTCATACGTTTCCACTAATTCAACTAATGGTGACGATTTTAAGAAATGATCCTATCTCGCAACATTAGGATTTACTAGTATAAATCAATTGCAATAATAGATTGGCTGTAGAAATTGCGGCTTCCAAGGTATCAGCCTTATGGGCATCTAAGCTCACTTCTTGATAGCAATACTATGAGTTTAGCAGATCATAATTGCTTAAGGTACTGTTGAGATACTCTGCTCATTTAACAAGAGTCTTTTAAAAATAAATGCTGAACTAATTTCACATTTTTAGGTTTTGTGAAGCTCAGTCTAAAGCTGGAGAATGAAAGAAATCAAACAGTTTGCAAACTAAAAATGCAGACAACAGAAGTAAAGGTAAGAAACATGTAAATATTATAAAATAGTTTCTTTGTAGTATTTAAATATGGCTGACAAAAGAAGCTTGCTATCGAAGCTTTCCATCTTGCATTCATCAGGACAGAATCACAAGAATACCAAATCAGCCACCTCTTTCTCTTTCCCCTTTTGATCAAACCTTGCTGATGGTAGTTATTAGTGGTACAAGCCACAATGGCACATTGATGTAACCAGCACCTCCTACCCCATGCATGCTGAATACCTAGGAGTTAACTGCGATTATTCCCTATGGAAAGGCACAAGTCAGAATAAAACTTGCTCCACAGGTAACACATCTGAACATAATGTTTGATGGCAGAAATCGTGCTCTCATCACTGTTTCTTTATGGTCCTTAGAACCTTGAGATGTCAAGTGAATACAACAGAAAATTACTGCTACATCTTCTGAGAAAGAACATTTATCTCAGGCATGACAACCAGTTAAAGGTCAACCAGGTTTGAGACACATTTGCTAGTAGCAGTTGGATGAACACTGCCTCATTAGAATGTAATGCAAAAATGTGCTTTATCTTCTGGTGGCAATGCACTAGATGTTTTCCTCAGGGTTAGAGTCATAACAAATCATGAAGGTAAAATCCAAACCTTTGTAGCCTGAAATGGGCTTTTACCTGGCTAATATCTACGTAAACAAAGGTGAGGCCCGTTGGCTGGGGTGGGAGGAAGGGGTTGAACAGAGAAAACCCTCTCTGTGCTATCTTGTTGAGCTTCCAAACGCCATCGCCTGATGTTCCCCATCTTCAGTGGCTAGGCTGAATGCACCTTCTGTGGCAAGATGGTGGCATAGAAGTAATGTCACTGGACTATAAATCCCGTAGCCCAGGCAAATGGTCTAGAGACCTGTGTTCAAATTCCACCACATGAAATGTGGTGGAATTCCAAGTCAATTCCTGGTCGTTAAAAAATCTGGAATTGTAAATGAATGTCAGTAAGAGTTGCCATGAAAACTCATCAGGTTGATGAATGCACTTTGGAGAAGTCTGCCATTTTTACTTGTTCTGGCCGACATGTGACTCCAGACCCCAGCCTCAATTTCCCGCTTCAAATGGCCTAGCAAGCCACTCAGTTCAAAAAGGCAATAAATGGCCTTGCCAATGACATTCAAATCCCAAGATTTAATTTTTTAAAAAACAACCATTGAAGCATTTGGGCAGACTTTGGGATATTTGTCACTCTCCTCACTCACTGCCAGCTCTTGGTTCAAAAAAAAGATTAAACTTTTCAAGGATGACTCCTCCATAGACAGTGAGACTTCTGTCAGCAGAAAAGTGAGCAGAAGGCAGACATCCTCAAATAAAAATGTAAAACATTTGCCATCCCATTTCTGGAAACATTGGCAGCTTGTTGTATTCATTTTAGAAAATGGCGGTAGCCTAGCATCAAAAAAAAAGGGACACGGATGGGCCCATGATGTGTAGAACATGAACCAGTCTGTTATTCTCTGCACTGTTCAACAGCTCACAGTATTGATCATTGAACTACACCATCTGAGGAAAACTTATCAGGCACTCTCTCAAAATGTGGACTATCCTGAGGACAATTCATCAGCTGATTGGATAAACAGGCTACGAATAATTAAGGTCAGTAAATCTCATTGTAAATCTGTCGAAATTAATCATTTTTGTACCATTTTGTACCATTGTACCACTAATAAACCATCCAGAAACATATTGGCTCCGAAATGACTGTCTGACATTAATGTGTGAACACTTAGCAAATTCGTACAACGTTCTTTAGCCTCAGTATTTTTATTAAAGTGTCAAAAACTTTAGGGTCTCTGTTAAAAATCGCAAAGTAATGACATCAAGGCACACTTGGCCTCACAGGAACTTTCAATAAACTCTCCTGGTGACTGAGAAATGTGTCATTATCGAATGTGAAAGACAACCAGAAAGACAGGCTGACTGTGTCATTCTCTTAAAAAGTGGGAGATGCCAAATTAAGTCATCTGTAAAGGTGAAAGTGTTAATTAGAAGTTGGCTGTCCTCAGCCATAGAGGGTTGATTTTCTGGTTTGTTTTCTGGATAAAGAGCTTCATGGACAAGTTAGCTGGGCTCAGACCCTTGATTTTTAATTCCTGGTGTTCCCTGCACATGTAGCTGGTGGGCCTCCTCACTCACTGAGCAAACTCCAAAACGATACCCATTAAGAAAGAGAAAGCAATAACCAAATGAGTGCTGTGCTGCAGAGGAGCTACAATTCTTCAGCCTCTCAAATCATTCCAGCGGTGAAAGGATGTAACGTTGAATGGAAACGCCTGAAGAGGCCAGAATAGATTGGGGCGATGTTCCAATACCATTGAAGCATTGCATCACAGCGTCTGTGTCAGGGTCTTTCAAAGATGCCCAGAGATAAGTCCAGAAATAGGACCGTAACACCGTAAGGAGCTGAATTAGGCCATGCGGCCCATTGAGTCTGCTCCACCTTTCAATATGGCTGATATGTTTCTCAACCCCATTCTCCTGCATTCTCCCTGTAACCCTTGATCTCCTTACTAATCATGAACCCATCTATCTCTGTCATAAATACACTGAGTGACTTGACCTCCAAAGCCCTCTGCAGCAATGAGTTCCATGGATTCACCACCCTTTGGCTGAAGAAATTCCTCCTCATCTCAGTTGTAAAAGGTTGTCCCTTCACTCTGAGGCTGTGCCCTCAGGTCCTAGACTCTTGTATCAATGGAAATAAATTCTCCATGTCCACTCCATCCAGGCCTCTCAGCATTCTTGAGTTTCAATGAGATCTCTCCTCATCCTTTTAAACTCCATTGAGTACAGACCCCGCATCATCAACCGCTTCTCATATGACATGCCCTTCATCCCCAGGATCATCCTTGTAAACCACCTCTGGCCCCCCTCCAATGCCAGCATATCCTTCCTTACATATGGTGCCCAAAATTACTAATAATATTCCAAATGCAGTCTGACCAGATCCTTATACAGCCTCAGCAGTACATTTGTGGTCTTATATTCTAGTCTTCTTGAAATGAATGTGAACATTGCATTTGCCCTCCTAACTGCCAATTGAACCTTTTCTTAAGCTTAAGAGAGTCCTAAACTAGGTCTCTGAAGTCCCTTTGTGCTTCAGATTTCTGAAGCCATTCCCCATTTAAAAAATAGTCTACACCTTATGCTTTCTACCAAAGTGCATAAACTCACACTTTATCACATTGTATTCCATCTGCCACTTCTTTGCCCACTGTCCTAACCTCTCCAATCTTTCTGCATCCTCTCCAAATCCTCATCTGTCCCTCAACTATCTTTGTGTTATCTGCAAAACTAACAGCAACGCTCTCAGTTTCTTTGTCCAGATCATTAGTGTATCACATGAATAGCTGTGGTTCTGAAAGCGACCCCCAAGGAACTCCAATAGTCACCACCTGTCATCCTGAAAAAGACCCCTTCCTCTACACTCCCTGTCTTCTGCCAGTCAGCCAATTCTCCCTCCCATCTTAAACAGGGTGACCTTAGAGAATGCCTTTGTGGTATTGTTTATTGGAACGAGGCACACATCTGCAATCAAGTCGCTTAATTGTTTTTGTATTTGGTATTTTGTAAGTTTAGCGTCCAAGAATCATGTTACCCTATAATCTCTGTTCAGCTCACCAGCCCCACTTCAGCTTGAATGTGTGCACTCACACATACCTGATGGAGATAATTAGTGCCAGATGGCACAAAAAAAGAACTACTTTATATTAAATTACATGAATAAAGTCTCATGCCAGTGACCAAATTGTAGAGCTCTAAATCACTGGTTTTCAGGTATTTAGGAAGTTTGGAAGGGAACACTCTTAATACAGACACCAACAGTCCCACATTAAGACACCCATTCAATTTAGAATTTTTTGTTGTCAATGAGTGTTGTCAGTTGATTTTAACTTCAGCTTTTGAAGTTTTCCATTAATGCCTGAATGTCTCCCACAAGCCATAATCAAACATGTTTGTTGTACTAACATCATGGGCTGGTTGAAAGACGATGGATACAGATTACTCAATGGCACAAACTGGATTGCTTTCTTGATAGAACACAGTTGAAAAGTTTAAAACTCAGCAGATGAAGCTGAAGCTGTTGGAAGAGGAGAACAAGCTGTTAGCACAAAAATCAGGCTGTGAATCATTGCAAAACATGGAAGCTAAAGTACTCGCATTACAGAAGGACATTTTAAAGGTGCGTGAACAACTTGAACTAGGAACTCAAGCTTGGGAACGATGCATCGTAAAAGCAGTTATTCATTGTAGCGCAAAGGATTCAGACCATGGTTTCACTTATTATCTCTAAAATTGCAGCAAAACAATTTTTGATAAACAGAAAGAAAATTGGAAAAGGAAAGTTATACACAAAATAATTATGACTTCATCAGCATCTGAAACAGAAAAAAGAGGTTAACCTTTAAGGTGGGGGCCAGGTGACATTTTAACTGTCTTTTCTCCCAATTCTCCATATTCGCTTCATCCCATTTTCAATTTTCCTTTAAGTAGTATTTTAGTTTGCACGTGATTGATCACTTGTCATTGAATAACAGGAAAAAATCTTATATCAATATAAGGTAACAGATGATCACTTCCCTCCTTGCTTACTAGAAATTATACTAAAATCAGGGCAAGAGTCTTAATGGCACAAAAGGCAGTACATCCGTGCATCCGGTCCACACTCATGATCCTATGGACAGAGTTTAATGACCACAGCCAAGGCATTAAGGTGTAGGAAGGGGGCATTTAATTGTGTGGAAAGTGAAGGATGACACTCCTCTTCCCATTCTTCCCTATTGTTTGGGGCTGGAAGCCTTCCTGCTCCAACTTCAAGTAAAGACCTTAAGTAGGCAATTAATATCTGCATAACGGTCTCTCCCTACAGCAGACTGGTCACACAAGGAGCCCAATAAACACAGACCGTTGGGTTTCTCTTTAGGGTCCCAGGGATGATGGGCTGGTGGGATGGATATGCCCCATTCAAGAGATCCTGCTTGATCAAGAATTGGGTGGGGCGAGGAGGTTGTTGGCGTCCACTGAAAGCATAATGCCTACTCCATGGAACTTACCGTGTATGAGACACAGGTATAAATCTTTCTGGCCAAGGAAGAAGCAGGAGCAGGTACATCAATCATCCACAGACATTATTCACAAAACCCCAAACCCCAGAACATGTGCTGACTTCTTTCTCCCTTGCACAGGCCAGCCACTTCAATGTGGATTACATCAATAAAATTAATAAGTATTATTAAATAATAATGTCAATTTAACACAGCGTGACAAAGTATGCACTCTGTTGTGTGCCCTCTTCATTGTTTGTATTGTTTCACACAGAGGTATTAGTTATTTTTAAGCAACTTGCTCATGTGGGTTATGACACATCTCCGTGGCAGGTGGGACTTACCTTCTTGCACAGAAATGAGGATGTTACCACCATGCCACATGATCCTTACTCTGGTTCAAATATATATTCTCAACTTTTCCCAGATAGTGCCAGCTCCTCTTAATTACAGTTAGAACATATCCATACTCTATTGACAAAGGATTAGCGACCTATGGCCTGGTTCCCTGTGTGATCCTGGGGCTTGGGTGGGTGAATTACTGGCAGCAGCCATTGCCTCCAAAAGCACTGCCTACAATCATTGGGGTGACAGGATCGCCTCAACCCTCACCCCTCATCCCCCCCTACACTCATGGTCCTGAGTCCCAGAGAGGGCCCACATTGTCCAATGGTGGGCCTTATAAAAGGAGGTGACACAGGGCTCCCCCAGCTCTCCAGCTGGCAGACGAGATCTCTGGTCTCCCCATTAAATACTACCCTATGTGTGCAGTCTGGGTTTGTTTTCTCATAATCTATTTTATTTCATCAGAAATTCTTTAAAAAGTGAAAGAACTGCAGATGCTGTAAATGAGAAACAAAAACAGAAATTGCTGGAAAAGTTCAGATTATTGGCCATATATATGATAATTAGCAATGTTTCAATGACGTTATGCAACAGACAGAATAGGGCTATCTATATAACTATAGCTTGGATCTAAAATTATACAATTACAGAACAGAACTATCCTCATTCTATTCCGTTGCACAGTATATTAAAGCAATGTTCTCATGTTGAATTTCTTTTCAAAAGCCTCATTGTGTGACATTGGCAAGAAACAATGTTGGTAATTACAAGGATGTAACTGGCACAGGGAACAGTGTTCAAACTAATTTCCATAGGCATGAAATAAGTTTATATATAATCACAAGGTAAGTAAACTGGATGGAATGACTTATGTTAGAAAGCGTGTGCCATCATTATAAAAGTCATTAATAAATCCAATGGTTAATTCAGCAAAATTGTCTTTCCCAATGAAGCGGTAAGAATCTAGAATCTGGAACTACCACATGGAATGATTGAGCCAAATAGCATTGTTGCATTTAAAGGGAAGCTGGATGAGGGCAACAGGAAGAGGTGTCATAGAGTGGGAGGAGGATCACATGGAGTTCACACTGATGTAGTCCTGTTGGGCCGAATGGTCTGTTTCTGTGGCATAGACGAGACATAAATGTAGCCTTTTAAAACAGTAGCCTCCAAGACAAACAGGGAAGGAAACTTCTAGAAAACATCAACACATGAAGCCAGCAAAGTGCTTACTGGGGTAAACGTCAGATTGGCAGTTGGAAACTGTTTGAGAGCTGGAAAAGCTACCGAGCACTAAATCGCAGGCTGGTCAGAGTGGACAGAAACAGTCAACAGCGCAGAATGATAACCGATACCTTCACCTTGTAGGTGCCTCAGGAACAGCTAACAAACTGTCCTTAAATAGTTGGAATTTGTCCCAATTAGACTTGGCATAGAGACAGATCAGCAAAACACACCCTAATAGTCAGGGGCAAAATTAAGCTCAGAGATAGAGCTTTTCATTTACTTAGCATCTCTTCACATTAATAATAAGCAAAATGCCATGTTACTAAAAGAACACAACCACCTTTACCCATGGCGATTAAACAAGGAGCCATGGAAACCTTTACATGCTACTGGTAAGAGAGCATGCTACAGGCAGTTAACAGTGGACAGTGCTCACACCATGTGCCTGCTGTGTCTGTTTCTGAAAGGTTGAACCAAATTAGCTTTTGGTAACTGTAACAGTTTAACCTATGCACATTATTTACCCTGTGTCTTACCTGCCAACCCCTTTTTACTGTGATGCTTTTCTTAAGACCTTGTTAGCTTTAAATTCATTTGTGGGATGTGGACGTCATTGGCTGGGCCAGCATTTATTGCCCATCCCTAACTGCCCTTGAGAAGCTGGTGGTGAACTGCCTTTTTGAACTGCTGCAGTCCACCTGCTGTGGTTTGAGCCACAATGCCACTGGGGAGGGAATTCCAGGATTTTGACCCAGCGACAGTGAGGGAACAGTGATATGTTTCCACATCAGGATAGTAAGTGGCTTGGAGGGGAACTTGAAGGTTGATGTGTTCCCGTGTATCTGCTGCGCTTATCCTTCCAAATGGGAGCGGTCATAGGTATGGAGGGTGCTGTCTGAGGATCTTTGGTGAATGAGGCAAGCAATTTCTTCCTGTGCTGGACTTTCTGCACAAATACTTTGGCAGCTTCATGCTGGCAGTACGGAGCTCTCTGCAGATGTTATTGATATTTTTTAACTGCGTGGGCACTATTTACTCCAAGCACCAGCTTGAGAGCCCTGCATCTTCTCCTGTGAGGAAAACCAACAGTAGTGAGCGTGAGCAGTGGGATTCACCCACGATCAGTGACCCAGGAATACGTCCCCGCCACCCACTACCCTCCTCCCCCATGACCTGCTGTACATTCAGAATGGGGAATGGGTGGTAGGTACGAGTGTTGCCCAGGATCAGTGAGGAACCCCAGGCCACAATGGAGTGAGATCAGGATGGGACTCTCACAGCTGGGACCTCCCAAGTAAACACAATAGAATTTCCTCTTTGTACCTCCCATGCAGCAACTATTCAAATCTCCAGTGTTTGAATACCAGCAATGTTGGGATGAAGTCTTTAGATTGGGCATTCATCACCTCTGCCTTAAAAAGACATTAAATTTTACTCTATATGTTCTTAACCTATTATGTGGGTTAAATTATGTCTCATGCTTTCTTTACATTGCTGCAAGCTTTTAAATACTGCATCTGAGTGTTAATCCCTATTGTTTCAAAATGATAAGTTCCCCAACAGAGGCATTCATAAAACTAGAAACTAATAATGGTAATTATTATCCAGAGCATTAACTTTCCTTGTAAAGATCAGCTGTTTGGTAAATTTCTATATTATGACAGGAGAGGCATTGTAATTCTCTGTTACTTTTGTTTGGTACATTATTGGAAACCTTTTCCAAAGCTTATTAAAGTTTTGAATATCAAAAATTCACCCAACAATCCAGTATCTGATTATGCGCTGGGGAACTGTCAGGACCCAAGTGCACAAAGCTAAATGTATCTAGAAGCAGGATTTTCAGGATTTCTACTGTCCTATTTTCTCTGACAAACAGATCTCTTTTTGTAAGTTCTAACTGCTTGTTTGACATTAGTTGACAGATTTGGATGCACAGACAAGACTGCAGCAGGATCACCACAAAATCCTTTTGACAGGTTGGAATAATTCAATACGATTATTACTTTTCATTCATGTTTTGTTTTAATTTGAAAGCTGATTGAATTTAAGCTTGTTAACTTTATAAAGCTAACAGTGTGTTGTGATGCACAGATAAGGCAGTCTTGGGTTTACATTCAGAAACAATGGGAAGACTTGCAGGTTGTAAGAAACAGGCAATGTTACGGGAAAAGGGAGAACAAGCAGAAGCTGAAGTGAAGCTGAAAAGTCTTTACCCGTTTTCTGTGCAGAAAATGGCTACTGAAGATGTGTAATAAACTATCTCTCAAATGCTACCTTTGCCAATACTGTACTTTAATTGCTATCTCATTGAATTATGCAAAGTTCATATATTTTTCAAACTCCACATCATATTGTGAACATTAAGGAGGAATTGGTTAATATGCTGCCATTTCTCTTTAGATGGTTGATCCAGCAAAAAAAAATCACATTCTGCTGACTGTAATGGATTTGCATGAAATCAGTTAAAGTTTCTTAATTAGTGGGTAAAAAACACAACACAAAACCAAAGGAACTCTGTTCACATTGAATAATCATAGGCAAGGCTGTAGAAATGTGATAGGGGGCAAATAGTGATCAGTGACGATCAGTGACCCAGGAATACGTCCCCGCTACCCACTACCCTCCTCCCCCATGACCTGCTGTACATTCAGAATGGGGAATGTGTGGTAGGTACGAGTGTTGCCCAGGATCAGTGAGGAACCCCACTCTTGTAAGGTAGACTTCAAGACCTGTTGTTGGGATCAAGTAGAGAGCATTTATAACTGTCCTGGAATATCTGATGCTAATTGCATTTATCTTGATTATTGAATAATCGGACCAAAATAGAATCATCATTCCTAAGGACCATAACCCCACTACCAAATGTCAACTGTTGTTTCCAAGACTGTCACCGGTGACCTCATCTCCTCCAGAGATCTTCCTCCATGGCTTCCAACCTCACGGTCCCTCAACACCAAACAGCTGACCTCTACCTCCTTCCCAACATCTGTGACTCTATGACTCTGTAACATCCACAAAACTGGACAGCCCTGGTAAGCTTCTTGTTTCAGTCTGTTCTTGCTCCATGGAATTGATTTGTTCCTATCTCAACTCTAATTTATTTCTCTTTGTCCACTATCTGCCTCTCTAAATTTGTGACTTCTCTGACACCCTCTTTTACATTAAGTTTTCAGTTCCTGGCCCAATCATTTAATGCTTGTCATGGAGATCTAATGCTGCTACTGCTCCATACTGGAGCCAGGTGGCTGAGGGTTGTCGCTTCTTCCTAGTATGGAGAACCAAGCAGGCCTCAACATCCAAGCCTACGCACCACCCCCAACTCACACCCCCAACCCCTGCTCCTCCAACCTTCCCAGGCTAAACTTGGTTCCCATCAGACAACTCCCCTGACTCTATTTGCTTCAAAATTACATGTGTAGCCCTAGGAACCACACCTAAATATGCCTGCAACTTCATGGCATTTGTAGAACAATCATTGTTGTGGTCCTACTCAGTCGAAGATGGGAGATAAGCAGCACGGTTGTGGGGTTGGAGAGACTACAGAGATATCAATAGGCCGTGCCATGGAGACATTTGATGAAAAGTTTACAATTTTAAAACGTGGGACCCGTTGTAGGTCAGTGGGGGGCAAGTATACTGGGAGAATGGGACATCGCATGAGTTCAGACACAAGCATTAGAGTTTTGGATGACATCGGGTTTATGGAGAATGGGAGCGGCCAGTGAAGAATAATTGGAATTGTCAAGTCTAATGGTTAAAAAAAGGCAATGATAAGATTTTCAACAGCAGGGGCAGAGTTGGGCAGTGTTATGGAGATGGAAATAGATCATCATTGTGAGGGTGCAGATATATTTTTGGAAATTTACCTCAGGATCAAAAATGTCACCCAGGTTCCGATCAGTCTGGTGTACCTTGATACAGTGAATTAGTGAATTGTCAAAAAGTATTTCCAATGGATTGTAAGTGAATAATAAGGGATTATCAATTTTACATTGTCACAAGAGGAGAGGGAGAATAAAATAAGCTTATTTACAGAGAGAAAAAAAAATTGAATGGAATGTTTAATCAAAAGTAATGGTTCAGGCAGACTCCATTTGGCAACTTTGAATAGAAAATCGGTTGGATGTTTGATTACGGAAAGGGAATGCTTTTGGATTGCTGTAGTAAAGGGCCATTACAGACATAATGGATAAAGTGGTTAACAATTTGTTGTGATTCACGGGTAAGGCAGTCTTGGGTCTGAGTTCTAAAGAAATAGTAAGACTCCCAGCCTGGGGGAAAATGGACAACATTACAGAAAAATATGGGAACAAACACTGCAAAAGCTGCTATGAAATTAAAAAGGTTTTATCAATTTACCGTTGTCAAAATGATGATTGGAGTCATACAGTTGTCAATAAGATGCAACATTTGCCAATACTGCTACAGCAGCATGATGGTTCAGAGGTTAGCACTGCTGCCTCACAGTGCCAGGGATGTAGGTTTGATTCTAGTCTTGGGTGACTGCCTATGTGGAGTTTGCATGTTCTCCCCATGTCTGTGTGAGTTTTGCCAGGTGCTCTGGATTCATCCCACAGTCCAAACATGTGCAGTTAAAGTGGATTGTCTGTAGTACCCAGGGATGTGCAGACTATTTGGATCAACCATGGTAAATATAGGGCTATGGGGACAGGGTGGGGGGTTGAGTTCAGGTGGGATGCTTTTCAGAGGGTTGGTGCAGACTCAATGGGCTGAATGGCCTCTTTCCGCACTGTGGGAATTCCACGACTTTTCCAGTTTAGATTTGAAATTTTTGTTTCGGGGAATCTTAATCTTACTCCCTTCACCCAGGGTCAGGGAGGTGCATTGTCAGAACTATATTACTGCCCAGCAAAGACAAATTAACATAGCCCAAACTGGTGATTGAAAATAAGACCTTACCAATCAATTAAGTTATTTATTGGGCAATGATATTGATGGATGCAGAACATTCAAAGTGAATAGAAGGATATATAAGCAATAATGATTGAGAAAGCTCTCACTATTATTAAAATCTGTGCCAGTGACTTGGATATGCAAGGGCAGTGAAGCCATTCTTGGATCTCCTTTGAGATTGCTATAGAGATGATCATTTTTATAAAGCTTTGCAACCAACTGATTCAGTTCCGTTCTCTGAATGGAAGCGCCTGATGCTCTAATACAATCTTTGTGAACTTTTGTGTATTCATGCTTCGCACTGTAAAGCTCTGTCACATCTCGGTCCACTCATGACTTTACCATTATTGTAACTATAACTGGAAGAAGTCTAGCAACACTCAGTAACCAGGAGGAGAGGGAAGATGGGCAATGTAGTCATTGTTACAATGTGCTTTCCCAGCTACTATCCAAACACATTAACCAGAAACCCTCCAGGCTTGAAGATGTTCTTAAAGCCTTCTTAAAGAGTGTAATTTTCCCCAGTGGAGGATCCTACTGTATGATTATTCAGTTTGAGTGAGCTGGGCACTGGTCCAAAGGACCATACATGTTTGATCAGGAACATGTGACAGCAGGTTTGGGAATATCTGTTACCCTTTCAGAAACACGCTACACGCTCACCCTCAGGACAGGTCGGGAATGTCCCAGAGTAGAGCAAAGGCGGTAGAGACCTGGCCATGGTCACTTGTCCCAGTTCCTTTTCCTTGCACTTGGAACTAAACATTCCTCAGTTATGTTACAGAGCAATGTAAGGCTAAAAGCCAGCAATAATTGAAGGTGGGTGCAAGAAGGTGATGGGTGCAATTTAGCATTCAATATAGAGTATCTTGAGAACTACTCCAAACATGCACTTGGTGCAATTCAACATTCTTCAGTGCAAAAAGTGTACAAATGTTCATTAAGATTTGGGAAATCATTAAATTCTTGGCTACCCCCAGAACAGGAGGGCCTGAACAATGATTCAGAGTATATGCCTGTTATGCTGCAACATGAAAAGTATTATTCTGTTTCTACACTTTATTCCACTTGCTACGTCTTGTGAAGTATTTTGTTAATTTTACTTAAGTCCAGCATCTTGTTTTGCACTGCATCTGTATTGTCACCTTGTGATCATGTTTTTGTGGTGTACATTGTTTTGCAGAAATAAATAAAAGAAAATTTGAATAAAACGTGATCTGTTTCTGCTTTGCATTTGTTCTCATGAGTGCAAGACAAATATCTTCGGTGTCATGTCTCTCTCTTCAGCAGTATTTTGAATTAAGCTCATAAAACATAGAAATAAAAGGTGGGGTCAGTAAAAATGACTATTGTGTGTTGTCAGCCTGTCATAAAAACCATACCTGTTCACCAGTGGGGAAATCCAAAATTGCCCTCGTGTTTTAATTCAGAGGATGAAACTCACATCTAAAAATAGAGCTAGTAGGAACTGCAGATGCTGGAGAATCCGAGACAACAAGGTGCAGGGCTGGATGAACACAGCAGGCCAAGCAGCATCATAGGAGCAGAAAGGCTGACATTTCGGGCCTAGACCCTTCATCAGAAAAGCTTTTCTGATGAAGGGTC